ATGTTTAATTGATATTTATTTATTTATTTTTTTTTTTAGTGTTCAGATGGGATCTTGCCTATGACTTTATTATTAATACTTTCATTACATGTATTACTACATTTTCATATTTACATTTATTGATATCTATTAAAATTTTAATTATATATATATTTATAAATAAAAGAAAAATTTGTCTAAATATAAGAGGCGTAGCTCCACGTCTTTGCTACGCCCGATTTTATAATATACGCATTCCGGTGAGTCTTTATCCTCCACTATATATAAATTAGGCACAATTAATTTTTTACAAAACAATTAACAAAATTATTAATAAATTTATAATACCCGTGAATACGTATATATATCCAGCTTCATCATGGTCAGAGATGTCTTTGACCATTTCCGCTCTTAATGCCTCCTGGGTTTCAGCCAGGAGATCCTTCCTAATATAGTCTGTAAAGAAAATTTTATAGTCATTAGCCTTTCATGACCTTAGTGAAATTAGAAGAAAGTAAAATATTAAAGTAGTGTTTCGATCCTATTCTTTAAGGGCCATTCGGATTGAATTCGGATCTCACTTCGTGTATCCGGATGATAATCCGAATCTGGATAAATCCGGATTCAATTATTAAATCTGGCGCAGCTAAAATTCTTTATACCGGTTAAGGGCTAAACTGTATTTATCATCGTTCGCTGCTCAAATTGACCAATCACATGAAAGTTATCTAGAATGATCCTATGTATTACAGATCTATCCGGTCAAAATTAACGGATACAAATATCCGAATTCAATTCGAATTATCGGAGCTATCTGAATTAGTCAGATTGCGGATCGAAACACTATATTAAAGTACCTTTGGCCTTGACATAGATATTATTAGATTTCCTGGTTTTTATAAGCGACTTTGATGCCTTCTTTCGACTATCTGAAGGCTTTACACTAAAGGACTTTCATCACGAATATCAGATAGAAATTAAATGTTAAATCTATCTAACAATAAATCATTGTGACATTATGTACATAAATTATCTCAACATATTAAGAGAACTTACCTTTGCCTCGTTTTTGAGGGCCAGGTATCTTTGAGCGGAAATGGACTCTTTCTCCAAATATTGTTCAAGCCACATGGTATATATTTCTTTTTGGGAGATAACCGGAAGTTTGTGACCCCTTTTTGTACCAAGAATTCGATATATTTTCGAAAACTCCATCCCTCCGGCTTGGAGTTTTCGAAATAACTTTGCACTATGCGGTAATAATGCCTCTCATCACCATTCAGTTCATCACCAGAGAGCTTTAGCGGGTATGTCATTGTTTTAAATTTCTTTGGAAATGTATTAGAATATCAAATTGAATTAAAAAAAAAAAAGTGAATGGGAGCTAAATATATTTGTTAGTTCTTGTTGACATTCCAAAAAAGGAAGTGAGAAAAAAGCGAAAGCACACGTGTAGCATAGCAGAAGGTCGTTTTGATTGGCAGAAATTAAGATAAATATGAATTTTTTTTTTTATACATTCAATTACCAAAAAAAGAAGTGAGAAAAAACGAAAGCACACGCGTAGCATAGCAAAAGTTCATTTTGATTGGCTGAAAAGTGAGAAAAAAGCGAAAGCACATGCGTAGTATAGCAGAAGCTCGTTTTGATTGGCTGAAATTAAGATAAATATGATTTGCGATGATCATTTTTTTAT